ATTTGGAGTTAGGAATTATTGCTGTGTTTAAAAACACAATCTAAACAATCATCTGAATTACTTGTAATGCCCAGATCGAAAATGTAAAAAAAAATATTATTTTCCCATAAATAATTAAAAATGCATCGAACCTTAAAAATCGGAATATCTCAAAAACGGGTAATTATAACGAAAACTCACAAGAGAGCTTTTTTATGTTAAAAAGTGCGAAGAATCAGTTTTTTTATTCAAAAAGCAAAAAATTGCACTAAGAAAAAATTTTCTGTCATTTTAATACACTACAGGTACAGTAGAGAGCGCCCTCTAGAGGCTACAGTAAAACTATGCCCATGGTTCGTTTGTCGTACCAAAAAACCTTATACTGTTATACATCAAATATTGTTCGAAATATTTAAAAAAAACTATTTTAGAAAGAAAATTTAAGGAAGCCACTCATTTTTCGACCCATGTTTATATACGTATAGACTTTATGCATTAATTTTAAAAGTTCTATCGAATCTTAAAGTTATGCAACAATAAACTGAAACACCCTGTATATGGAAAGAACAGAGGAAATGATTTAGGTGTATATGCAACACTGTAGTCTATTATCATTAACCCTGTCTGGATGACAAATAAGGGAGACAAAGAAAAGTAATTGAATTATTCTGACGACTCTAAATTTTGATACTAGAAATTTTTTCAATGATTGCTTGATTGTTTTATACATAAACACACCTTTTTCTGAATTTTATGATCCTTAAATGTACCCACCCACCCATTTCGCATATATATATATATATATATATATAGGTGAAAAATTAAAGCTTCCGCCTTTTGTTGGTACTTCGACAAAATTTAGGCAAAGAGGACTCTTTATACTTTTTTTAATTCTCTCTAGCTTTCAATGGACTTTGCCATCATCATCAGGAGAGTAGTATGTGAGGATGTTGCTAATTGTTGTTTACGTATAGGATGAGGGAAACGTCCAGTAACATGGTGAGAGCTGGATAGATGGTACAATGGTCAAAATTATATAAAATATGACAAGACAAGTTAAAGACAGATTAAAAATTATTTTATTTGTTATTTATTAATCATCCTATACGAAAACAACAATTAGCAACATCCTCACATACTACTCTCCTGATGATGATGGCAAAGTCCATTGAAAGCTAGAGAGAATTAAAAAAGTATAAAGAGTCCTCTTTGCTTAAATTTTGTCGAAGTACCCAACAAAAGGCGGAAGCTTTAATTTTTCACCTAACTGGTTTAGACGACAAGTTATATAATATAATTAATTTGTGTTACTCAGTCTATTATGATGATTATCTGGATATTTCGTCAAGCAGAATGACTCACAACTTATTACGCAATCATAATACAACAGACAGGAACTGACAAACCGACATAAATGAGAAACACGGAGTTGTTTGATGCAGGTATCTTTGAGTAACAGAAAACTTGTGAAGATCGAATATTATCGCTAGTTTAATACTTCCATCGTTTAGGTGTCTTAGATTTTGAAAATGGATTCAGAGGCGGTGTAGCTACGGACAAAAATAATAATCTCTGGAACATAGTGATACAATGTTTCAGAGATTCCTGCTCACTTTCAGAGCTTTGGACATTGTATGTTGCAAGCTGTGTGCGGTAAATGGTTGTAAATTATTGCGTGTCTGGTGTCAGTCATAAAAGTTATTCTAAGTGTTAAACGGCTTAGGTAAAAACTCTACCATTAAATTTGCAATCTATCATTTTTTTAAAACAAAGCTTAATGAGAGAAAATTTAAATTCGTTCATAATTTACGATTTATTGCCTATCCTCAGCCATAATGACACACACACGTTTTCTCTACATCTGCCATAGAACAGAAATGTGGCGGATTTATCCTATATATGTAGTTTGATATGTAGATATCGGAGATTCATCGTACCCAAGTGAACCTGCCTAGTCACAATTCGATTCTGCCTTTTAAAACGACTTGAGTAATCCCTTTTCCTTGAGACCTCGAACGAAGGCATAGTCAACCTACGTCATATTTTTCACCTTGCAAAGTATTTTCATTTTTTGACTCGTATCCCTGCTTATTAATAACATTTCCTGCTAAACGTGAGCAACCAGCACGACTGGCTTCTCGAATACCTCTTCAAAGAAAAAAAAACGGTACGCCTATGTATTGGCTTGTCATTTTGGTAGGCATTGGTAGACAAATGAGTCAAAAGAATGCGCGGAAACTACACAATTTTGGCGACAATATACAGGGTGTTATTTAAGTAATTGCCATAAATTTAACAGACGATTTTTTTGTAATTCTAAGACAAAACGCTCATTTAAGCAGCGGTCCGCAAATTCTTCGTTCTCAAGATACAGGGTTTAACATTTAGAAAATGGTTTTTTATATATATCTTAAATACCTTTTACCTAATTTTAATTTTGTTGTCATTTGGCGCTAGTTTGATTAAATTTATTAACTCCAGTGGCCTGTCGAATGGGATCTGAACGGATATTTGTAAAAAAAACTATACTCAACTGACTTTTGTGGAATTATTTATGTTTTTTTGGATTAAGCAAATAGAAATACAACCTTTTTTGTCTCTTGAATTTTTTTCGTATCTTACTTAGTTTTCTAGAAGCCAACCAGCAGAAGTACGTATCGCTCGGGTTACCTATACTATTTTCTGCTCGAATCCACTTTTGCGGATTTTGCCCATTATTTTCCTATTTTTGTTATATACCTTCTCAGCATGATTGTTCTCTTTATATATATATATATATATACAGGGGTCCGCAAAGTTGGGGTTTTCCTTTTCAGAAACAACTACCCTTGAAATAACAAAGGTAATGTGTAGTGAAACGAGGGCGACCAAGTAAAAAAAATAAAGGAAAAAGTACTCACTCTCCAGTTGACGAGAGGGCTAAGTACGTCTCTGCCCGAAATCATACCGCTCCAACAAAAAGAAAAGATCAGCTGATACGCTACCGGGCAGGCGAAGGCAAACAGGAAGGCAAAATGTTGCATAAAAAGTCTAGGTATTGCATCCCGTCCAATCGATTTGGGAGAATAAATGGTCCAATGAGCATACCGTTTCACCATGCCAGCCCCAACATTCACCGAAAATGTTTGTTGAAAATGTGCCCAACGGACAGCGTGCGGATTTTCTACTGACCAAACATGAGTGTTGAGAAAGTTACGCGTGAACGTAGATCGTCTGTCACCAATATGCACTTCAAAAAGTCCGGATTATTGTCATGTTGATGCAACAACACTCACAAAACCGCACTCTTGCTGGAAAATCGTCAGGTTGAAGGGCTGGTACACGTTGTACGTGAAACGGATACAGCCCTCTTCACGCAGCGTTTGCCACACTTTAGTTTTTGATACTTGCACTTCTCTAGCCCCGTTCTAGTGCTTGTTGAGGGATTCTCGTCTACGCGATTACCTCTACACGCGTGAC